GTCGGACGCTGACTACAAATGGAGCTGCCGACAACAGGGAAATCAAACACCCAGAGGAGATGACGGGCGCGGACGACTCTTCGGATGACTCCGACGACGGGGGTGACTCTGTTGACTCCCGTCATGAACCAGGGCGCGGTGTCTACTACCGCAAGCATTTTGGAGGAGCGACACGCTTAGCGTAGTTGTCCCCCAACAAAAAAAATACTCCGTACGTCATCTAGACTAAACTACGAAACAACAACATAACGAACGGCCGGAGACAAGGGGTGCACGCAGCAGCACAACTTTTTGACGCCCGGCAGTGGGTTGCCGAACAACACGATACGCAACAACGACAGCGTACAGAGGGCAATCGTCCATCAAAGCTTGTGACAACGTGGCGGGAGTCATCTCGAGAAAGACCTCCCGAATCAGCCATCTACCTCGCCCCCACCAGCACGAGCGCTTTCTTTCATAGTCATTCATGTTCCATCGCTCACCGACGCCTCCTCCGCGTCCCTGATGCTCGTGAACGCCTTACGGATCGAGCTCAGTGGGCTCGAAACGCCGATGGTCCCGATCAATCTCCGGATCGCGTCCCCGTCCTGTCTCGCCGTGTACTTCTCCCAATTCTCTAGCACGTCTGCGGCAAGGAACGCACGTGGTATGGCACATAGATACGTCAGAGAAGTGCGGTGGTGGTGGGGAGCGAAGAAAGAAAAAGTAGCAGCACGCGATTGAGAAGGAGGTTGTACAAAGAGAAGTACTTAATCCACGACCGAGCGCTTGAAACCAACAGCGAAAAACGCCACGCACAGTCTGCAGCACGAGACAACGGGGAAGCGGATCAAACCTGTATGGTACATGTTTTGCGACAAATCGGTACATCCTTCGCCCGACGTTTCGTGCAACTCTCGTATTAAGTAGTACACTGGTGATGCAGCAGTCGTTTTCGGTGAAACTCGGCAGTGTTTTTGCTTGCCATTTCTTTTCGGCTGGGCCGACAACCATTGCGGACAACCCAAGAACCGAGCGGCGTGGGTGTCCTTCCTCACGGCTGGCTCCCTCGAAAAGCACAAATAGCTCATGCAAACAACAGCAGTCAGAGAAACCCGTCACCTTCGAGAGACTGGTAGCACTTGGCCAGCAGGGGGAACCAGGAAGCGGCTTCCTTCGGGTTACCCTGTGGATTAAACGTTCAAACGAGGCACGAGTTCTTGATTCAAAAAAAATGCTGGTAACGTCACTATCTTTTGCGGTGTACCTCAAGAAGAGTTACCAGTGCGAGCGAGACCACAAGATTCGTCAACCGCCCACTCGTGAACATTTTTTTTTTTTTTTACGAAAACAACACGAGCCCATCCCTTCCACAGAGAATCAGAGTTTAGGATGATATTTTCAACTTTCGGACAGGGGTCGCACGAAAGTCTCGCACTCCACGGGGTTTCGAGACGGCCGGCCGCAGAGTCCCCCTAAAGGAACGCTTGAACGCAGTACATCTGGCCACGCACAACCCGCGAGACACAGAAAATATATATATGCCGAATCTAGGGTAAACAGCTCTACAGGAGTAGTGGGGGCGATGTGCAATATGAAACGACCTCGTCGAGTTCGGCGGTACAGTAGTTAGCGCCCACAAGGTAACAACGTGGTCTATGCTATCTACTATTTACAAAGCAAGGCAAGAAATGTATTGGGATTCGAAAACCTCCACAAAAAAAAAATCGCGTGTGCGATATAGGTACAGAATAGAGAACTCCACTCAGCAACACATACACAGCGGCCATTCGAAATTCGAAATTACAACAAAGTGTAGGAACAAACACTCCAGCCTCGGTAAAACTTGCTACAGGTTCCTCAAACAATGCATACGCGAGGGCGGTAACTGCTGTATTCGCACATTCAAAACAAGCAGCCAGGGATACACAGCACGATTGACCACTCCGTCTGTACTATTGTGTGGAATGACGGCGGTGGAGGCCTTGAATGATGTTGAAATTGCTGCTGATGTGCGCATGCGACAGCGTACGTACGTACAGAAGACCAGGGCCGCCAAAAAAAGAAAAACGATGATGGGACACAGCAGCTGCTCCGCGCGGTAGCGACCGCATGAACTGGTGCAAACTAAAGCAGGAAAACAGGCCACGCAAGTCTTGCCACGCTCTCAACTTCTCAGCTCGCCTTCGAGAGGGTTGGGAGCAGCAGAGTTTACAGACGGCTGTTCGGAAAAACGACATAACGGCCAAATGGCTTCCAAAAGCAACTTCAATCTTTGCCCCCGGAATCTTTCGAATAGCCCAGCAACTAACTCAGCAGAGTACGTACAAAGAGAAGCGGCAAATTTTGGACAAAAAATATCATTTTCTCGTTTCGGCGCGTCACCTCCGGTTGCCATCGAGACGCTTGCTCTTCGAAGGCGTAGCTGCGCCCCGTGGGAGCTAGAACAAGGGACGACGCCCCGCTGATCGCCACCGTCGCGACGCTCTTGTACATGAGTTGCTCGAAGTAGGCTCGTCGGTTCAACCTCGGCTCTTCTGCCAGGGTCCGAGGCATTTCGTCCGGTTTTTCCAACACCTGCTGCGAGGCTGCTCCTCCTGGCTGGCGAGCGATGGCGCAGTCACCGTCCTGCTTGTGACCAAAAATGTAACGCGGAAATAGGCAATTGAGCAGCGCCCGAGTTTCATGCTCGCACAAACGCTTTCGCTGCCTGTCTTTGGTTGTGCGCGTGATTCTCGTAACGAGTAGCGCACATCAGGCAGGGCGTCCAAAGCTGTTTTCGCAAAACCGCATCATCACACACACACCACAATGAACCTTACGTTCGGCGCTGACCGTAATCTTGCCAGGGCCAACGACGGCGACAGGAGGAAGCCATCGCAGGAAGGGACCGCCAGGCACAGAAACGCGAAGATAGTAGCGACCACGCGGTTTTGGCGCACCAGAGTCATCGCGAGCCTGCGTCCCTTCGGGCTGACCTATGTACGTAGGAGGGTGGGTGTCGTATGAGTATGTAGAGGCTGATCTTGCCAGGAGGCAAAAGGCAACGGCTGGGGGGTGCCGCAGAAAGTAGTACGGAGAAGGCGCAGGGGTGGGGGGGCACGTTACCCTGGCTTTATCTGAAACCTGAACCATAAACACAGGAAATACACTGATACACCGCCAACATCATGAAGTACCAAATGTCCGGCATTGCACGCATCCTAACCCTCTGATCGTTCGAGAGAGAGGGAGTATCAGAAGAACGGCGGTGAGTAGTATGTGTGTTCTGTGTCACGAATGATAGCATACCTCCCCACGAGCGTAAAAAAGCTCGAGAAACCGAGAAACAATTCTCCAGCCTTCCGTCTTCCGTCCCTTCAAGGTGGACACTGGCCATATATATACTGAAGCTGTACACCTTTACGGTGGTATGCATACATGTGGTGATTCTTCCGCTACCCACAACAAAACAGACTCCAGGACGATCGGCAAGAACATCGTGAGTCGTACACAGCAGGGCCCAGCAGTACAGAAAAAAAAAGATACTTTATTCTAAGAGATAGACGAGTTGAGCTCTGGTTCTTCGGCCGATGAAAATGCAGCTGCATGATGTACAAAATACCACATGAACAACGCTATGTTTATGTGTCTACAGTATGTACAGCAGCAGCAGTTTACAATAGTCCTCCTTCGATGACCAAGGACACCCAGCAATCACACAAGAGACACATAAGACCCGTCGGGGAAGTGCTGAGCAGAAAAAAATCCGATAAGGTCTCTCAAACGAAGACAAAACTCTCGACTCAAATTTCAAGACAATACAGGCGACCCGGCGGGTGCTCAAAATAAGGTCGTTTGTATTTTGCGGAGTCTCGACTTGATAATATATTTCGGTAGAATACATCATCGAGGAGACGTAATGAATATGCGCGTTGGCACGCCCATAGTGTTGCTGCTGGGGCCGGAACAGTCCGCAATAAATCTGGGTCCAAACCGTATACCGTGCACGACCCTCTGCGATAAGCACCGACCGTCACAGACTCAACACCCCTTTATTATTATATTGCGGGTCGTGAAATGCACTAATAAATATTTGGTGGTGTGAACTACTGGTGGTGTAGACCACGAGTTCGGGGAATTGGGTCTGTGACGGCGCGTACCGCAGCGGATCGTGAATGGTATATACGGCCACTCAGATTTGTTTGCGGACTTTTCGGACTGCAGCTAGCTGCAGCCTTCGACAGCACCCACGGCGCCAGCAGCAACAGATACGCATACGGCTCTCCTCCATGATGTCCTCTAAAGTTGCAATAGATGTTTAAGGCGGGATTCCGCACGCAGGCCGGAAAGACGTTGTCGCTCTCATGTTGGAATGAGACCAGAACTGAAACCGGGGAAGGAACCCCTAGAATAGATGCTTCCCTTTTCGGTGTACAGTATATCTTGCCTGCCGTTCTCACCAAAAATATTTTTCGTAAACCGTTCTCACAAGGTTTTCCGTAGATCGAACTTCTCACCGCCGACGACTGCAACGAGGCCACACAACAGAACAAAAATGAAAAATATTTCTATAGTGCTGCACTCGCTGTCTCTCCTTGGTCGTGTGCCACGCCCCCTGCCACGAGTGAGGTGTACAACTCACATCATGACAGACGGATGGATGCGACGTGTGACCAAGTTTAGTAAATACCTCGTATGCATTTTGTAGTGTGAAAACAACGTTTACTAGGAGGTAGGATGATGGCCACAATATACTGAGCAGAAAGGGATACGATAAGCGAGAAGGTATCTATTTGTAGAGTATGTCGAAGTGGAAAGAAATGTATGCACAGAGGACCCGATATATTTGGAAGCGTCTCGTTTCAAGATAGGAAGGGTGTTCTCCGTCTCGTGCGAGATCGGTGCTCAAAGAGGGCCACGGTACTCTTAATCCCAGGCACGGAGATGCTTTCCTCGTTGCCACAAGCACTACATACAACACCTTGCTGTAGCAATTGAATCTATCCCATCAGAAGGAAAGCTAAGACGAATGACGACCATCCCCCGCCTCTCTCTCTTTCTTGCTTCCGGTCACCGCCCTCCATCCCATCCGCCTCCTTGTTTCGGACCGCCCTTCGCAGGAAGAACATACCCGCCAAAAGGTATCAGCGGCGCAGGCAGCAACCACACGCACAGACATAATACATGCACCCGTTGGTGAGGGATCTCTGCAAGAGGTTCGTGCTAGCTTCCCGCCGCCACCCGTCCGGCGAGGCCTGGTTCAAAGACAAAGCCAAGGAAGCAATGCAAAGAAACGCCCTGCTCTCTTCCGAGGAAGACATCAGAAGGGCCGTGGCTCGAGGGCGCCGGGTTGTAAGGGATGCAGAGGAGTTCTCCAAGTTTTCTCGGTACAGGGCTATGCGGAGGAGATACTCCGACCCGGCGAGCAAGAAGTAGGCAGGATTTTTGCATTGAGTTGAGCTTAAATGCGTAAAGGTGTATGTATTCTGGTCTATATATGTGTTGCGTGGCAAGCGGGGGACCTTTGTCCGAGAAGCTGTACCATATGGTTTAGGTTGGGTTGGGTTGTGCTACATGTAGGTTTTAGAAGCTTAAGCTTTCATGAACGCCGTTGCGGTAGTAGCGCCTGCCGGTGTTCTCCACACTGTGAAAAGAGGGATTCGTCCTTGACAGACATTGGGGAGGTATGACCCTTTTCAGTGCCCATCTCCACACCACCCTCAGTTTTCTTGCCTGCTAGACAGGAAGAAGAGGCTTCTAAGGGGTATACCCGGAACCCGACTGGCTGGTAGCGAGTCGATATAATTCTTCACAGTCTTCTGAGCGTGGTTTCAGCGGGTGCTCCACGTCCGTCACGCCACCACAAGCTCCACAACTTCGAAATGTGTTATTGGTCCTTCGCCATTTTTAGTGGGAGGCGGAGTCTGAAGCGCACATTTCTATGCAGGTTATATACCTCATTGACCTCTACCAGCAAAGTAAACCAAGACGAAACGAATCAAAGGCCACAACGAGATATCGAACCGTTGATTGACTTTGGTGTTGTACTACTCTGCAGACTTCAAGCGAAGTTGTGCAAAGAGGTGGAAGAAATGGGGCGCTTGCCAAGGCTCTCCTCAATGAACTACCTGCGTGCAGTTCTACTCTCCACAAAACTTTTCTCCGTATTACCCATGTATGTCTACCACGTTTGGACACGCGGAGTCGAGACCAACATTGCAACGCGGGATCCAACCATCTGCTGCCAGCTACACTCCCCTTTGTGTCCGTGAAGCAAATCATACAACTAACGCCGATACTCCCGTCCTAGAAAAAACACAATACAGTCTGTCCAACGGGGAACAGCACAAAAAGGTACGTTAGATAAAGCCAGAGCCCGAACACAACAAACGAAACGCAACACTTGGCGGGTAGATCGCTGCAGTGTCAACGCCAACAAACGCGCGCCTCTCCTACCTCTGTCAGAAAAACAAAAAAAAATAGGGTAGGGGACGAACGCTCTCTGCATGTTACCGAATAATGCTTCCCCAGATTCCTCAAGCTCCGCAAGTACGCACCGACCGTCTTTCGTAAACGGTCGTGCCGGTCTCTTTCTCGGGCGGTCTGCGGGCCCCCCTACTGGGAGCATCCCCCGCACCATCCCATCCCCGACGGCAAGCATACCCGAAGACACAAAAAAGCAAGACGGCTATTACGACATTTCCGCACAATATCCCCACAAACGACTCCCTGGTGTAGAACGGCAAAAAGGTACCAGGTACTGTACAGGGCATGTAAGCAGGGTCCAGGGCAGTATCTCAACGCCCAACACTTGGACAACGCTAGTTTCGCGGTACTCTCTCTAACCAGCAGCTCGGACGCCTTCACGACACCGTTTTCAAACGCAACCGCAACACTAATACACACCAATGGGGGCTATAATAGCTGGTTGATTCCCTCATTTCTGGAGGTCCATGGCCTCCTGCGAAGCGGACAACAGGATTGCAAAAATACAAAGAGGTTTTCCCAAGAATACACGTACGAGCACACTTTGTAGACTATACAGTTTCAAGCCATCTCTCCCACCTACTGCTGCTGATGCTACCCTGGACGGCTCTATTGTATCTATTGTAAGCTACCACAGGCGCTCTTGCTTGTACACGAGGCAGACGAACACTTTTAGCTGAAACAAGGTGGAAACGAACTACTTGCTGGAAGGGCGAGAGGCATTGCTATTCCGCCGCGCAGGCTACTGCTCGCAGCCCATTCCAAGGACGGACGCGAGGGTGTCTCTGCGGTTGACCAGTTCCAGGGTGTACCTGAAAATATTTCGAAAAAGACAGGTCGGATCAGGGTGATGGGTTGGTGTGATGGTCTCGACCTAACAATGCTACATCTCCCGGCAATCTGAAGACTGGCATCCCCTCCCCCCCGTACGCGCGCGCCCTCACGCGGCACATGCCCTGATGTGCATCACGGCAAAACATGGATAAGCGAAATGTCGTATACAGCTGTTCGATATTCTGCATCACCATTCACTGGTACGAACGACGCTTTTTCACGTGTCCCCCGCCTGTAAAAAGCATTGCCACCTTGGTATGTGTATGTGAAGCTTAATATGCCGACCCATTACTTGCGCGATCGCGTCCTCCCACCCTCAACGAAAATACGGTGGGTGGGGTAGCCCCCCCCTTCCGCAGTCCTCGTACACACGCACGGAAAATACTGCACGCTACAGCGGTACCCTCCCTCTGACCAAGTAGCCGCGAGGAAGCGGACAAATCGGATGCTCGCCGCTGGTCATTGTTGTTGTCAAGCGCGCCGCGCGCGTCTCACTCCATGACTCACCCGAACGTCCCGTCCTCCAGGTTCATGGCGGCGTGGCCCCAGTCCCCGGGTACGTACACCAGGTCGCCGCCTCGCTGCACGCACTCCATCGGCCGGTCCTCGCCGCTGGCCGGCGGCCCGCCCTTGCCCTCCTCGGCGTAGTCCCGGATGTGCCGCCGGCTCCACACCGCCTCCCGAGGCGTCACCACCCACCACCTCTTCCTGCCGGACACGGCCAGGTTGAGCGCGTCCGAGTGGATGTGGAAGGGCGCGCCGCTGTGCCGCCCGCCGAGGTAGTAGTGGACGCTCTCCAGGCCCCGGAGGCCGCCGGGGGGCGGGCACACGATCGGCCTGTCGCCCGAGGACGGCAGGGCGGCGTCGACGACCCTGCCCAGGAGGTCGCGGCCTTCCGCGCAGGCCTCGGTGTCCACCTGGAACACGTAGTTGGGGGCGGGGCCCGTCGCCTTTTGGTCGTTCCCCCGGCCACTGCTGTCGGCAGCAGCGGCGGCGGTTGTCTTTGTTGACTTCATGTAGTCCGAGAGCGTCGTGCGCTCGTTCAAGAGGTCGAAGTTCTTGGCGTACGGGACGCCGCCGACGTCCACCGGCCGGTGTCCCCACGCCTCGGCGAACGAGGCGGCGTCGGGAAACTGAAGCTGCTTCTTTTCCTGCTGCTGAAGCCAGGGAACCACGTTGCGAACCATCACCGGCTCGCCCTCGCTGACAAGCCGTCGCACCTCGGCGAGGGCCGCCAGCGCGGAGGATTGCCACTGGTCGTGGTCATGGAGTTCCGCCGCATCATCACCATCTGCTGTGGGGAAAAGTGGGATGGTCACCTCGGGGATCTCGCACCTCATCTCGTCGTCTTGCGGCATCCCACGATCGCCCGCTGCTGCGGATGCTGAGTCCGGCAAGGCGGGGAGGCGGGCGTCCGCGGCCTTCTTGCTGTTGGCGCTGAAGGCCTTGAACGTCATGTTTCGCGGCTGGCGGCCGACGGTGTCGAACGCGTCCGGGCTGGCTCCGATGGACAGCAGGTACTCCACGAGCTCGCTGCTGCCCCAGAGCTCCGCCAGGTGGAGCGGTGTCGTCCCGAACTCGGGGTCGACCTCGTTGGGATCACAGGGGCTGCTGCTGCTGCTGCTGCTGCTCCCGCCACCTTCCAGAGGAGAGCACGCGTGCTTGACCTCGCGTAGAACGCGAGCGGAAACGAAGTCTCGGACGGGACCGACCTTGACGTCAACCGCCCTGGTGCTGCCGTCGGGCCCCGCTGCGGAGAGCACCGCGTTCTCCAGCCCCAGCGCCAGGGCGCCGTCGCTCTTCCCGCCGAGAATGGCCTTCACCGCGACCGCCGTGGCGCTCAGAGGCGCCGGCGTGGTGCTGCTGGACCAGTCGAAAGCCTCTTTGGCGAAGATCATGAGGATGCTGGGGCTCGTCTTGCTCTTCTTATCCGGCAGAAGCAGATGCGTACCGCCCAGGAGCACGCCGGTAATCACGGCCGCGGAAGCCACGAGCAGGCTGACCCACCCGGACCATCGCCTATCAGTCGTCGTGGCTCGAGCCATCCGTGCGTCTAAGCCCTTAGAGCGACCTTTTGTCGATGGAACGGCAGCCCAGGAGCTGTGTGAGGTCTGTGATCTGTCAGACTTGTCAAGAGCAGAGAAATGGCCCCGCTTTTTCCGATTCAAATCTGGTCCAGGAAGAGATGAAATTTGTTGCGTTTCCCGGGCTAATTCTACGTGTTGGAATTGCGCCGCTTTTCGTCCATCAACCAAATGACCGCATCATCATCAGCAGCAGCAGCAGAGCATCCGGTGAACTAGGAAACACGAACCGCGAGGTAAAGTGCTCTGGAGAGTACAGCACACACGCTGTGGTAACCCGAGGAAGATCGAAGGATGGGTGCGCTCAAGCTTGTTCTCAAGCTGGGGAGGCTCAAGATGACGGTGTTCTCCGCAGTCACCTACGGGACCGCGGCCAGCGTGGCGAATCTCGCGCTCCTTGAGGCCGGCTCGCCGAGCGAGTTTGACGCCGGTCTTTTCCTTGCAGGGTGGGCATTCGTGTTCTTCACGCAGCTGGTGGCGCACTTTCTAGGTGGGAGGCATCAGCACACCAAACATAACTTTTCGGAGCTGCACATACAGCAGTAGTAGACGAACATCCAGGCAGCCTCCAAATTCTCTTCACAAGAGAGATCACCAAGTCCGCCCGTCCAGAATGGAATGTAAATGGGATGCGACAGCAGATACGATGCAGTTTGTACTGCAGGGGAGCACTACAATATGATAGAACCCCCGAGACCAGGCTCCATACCTCAGGTCCCGCTGTCTTTAACTAATATCCCAAGCAAGAACCATTGAGGATGGACGTGTTGGGGTGTTTCCGAAAAAGAGCGGTTTTCTGAAGACTGCTATTGGTAGTTGTGCCCACGAACGAACCACCTGCCGCCACTCCGGCTTTTTCGTACATGTAGTCCCGATCTTAACGAACATGCTAAAATCAGTAGGGGACACCATCATAGGAGCAACGACTTGGGCATTGGCGCGCTCAGATCTGCTGCTGGGGCTGTGACATCTAAGGCTGCCGCTGGGTCCAAAAACTCCGCAATCGCGGGCAAAAACACCCCGCAATTCTAGACACAGCAGTGGGTGAGAGCTGCTCCTGCTGCCCGCAGCTCACTCAGGAGATTGAGTCTTTCTTTCTTTGGGCGTCGAGTGCAACAGAGTGGAAGATGCATGGTTTGGACCCACACTTGCGGACCTTTCGCACCGCAGCTGCAGTCTTCGGCAGCATACGCCCCTGGCAACAACAGGTCCGAGAGCGCTACAACCGGGCTGTTTATGCTATGTCACTGCTCTGTGGCGATGCCCCTTCATGATATGCGAGATCTCCCTCCGGGATGACGCTGGTTTTTGGGCATGCCGAGGATGACGCAAGATGGCCGTATGCTACTGCTGTAGGCCGAAAAACGGAAAATGATATGTTCCCGGGGTTCCCGGGGTCTTTCCATGATTTTATATTGGTCGAACGAGCCCGGTAGGAAGGAGTGCTGCTGCCTGGTCGGGGGGTAAATAGGTCACCGCGCCTTTGCTTCGTTTTTCGCGCCCAGAACAACCACTGAACGTTCCTCCGTCATATGTTTTGTCACAGCAGTACGATTATTTTCGAGATCAGTGCCCTACATTAAGACTTGACACAAGAGGAAATACTCCCAGATGGGGTCGGCAGCAGCAGCAATACAGTCAGTAGCAAGGACTACGCGCGACTTACCACCCACTGTCGTATTCTGATCTACCTGGAGGCATGTCACCTGTCTTAGAATGTACTTGTTGCACACCTTCTTTTATTTTGGACATTGACTTCGCTGATTTGCCGTATGAATATTTCATTCAGCTCGTCGTGAGACTTCTTTCCGCTTGTCACCCTAACCGCCACGCCTGTGTCGATGTCGCGTGCCCTCTCCCCCTCTCTCGCATGACGTTTTCTCCTCCTCGCTGCCGGCGACGATACACCCCACACAGGAGAGTACTACGACCTCCCTTCCGACAAGCTCAACTACTACGCCGGCCCGCTCACCGGCGGGTCAAAGGTACTCGTGTCCGGAGACATCACCCCAGGGCAGTGCTTCGCGCTGGGCTACGCCTGCGCCGCCGCGGCGGGGGGCATCCTCGCCCTGGTTCTGCCCCGCCGCTGCCTGGCGACGGGCCTCGCCCTCATGTTTATCGCGCACCAGTACAGCGCCCCTCCTTTCAAGTGCAACCACCGGGGCCTCGGGGAGCTGACGGCCTCTCTGGCGAGCAACGTCTTGCTCCCGCAGTTCGCGGCGCTGGTGCAGTCGGCCTCTTTCGAGGAGGCCCTGGCGCCGGGGCTTTTCCACGCCAGCCTCGCCGTTCTCGTGGTCCCGGCCTTCTTCCTCAAGCTCAGCCTTTTCTTGGCCCTCAACATGGCAGACCGCCGGCCGGACTGGCTAGGGGCGAAGTACACGCTGCCGGTCATTCTTGGCGACGAGGCCTGCTCGAGGTAGGGGGGGGGGCGGGGGGGCGGGGGGGCGGGACGCCTGCGTCGTCGCGGTTGTGAGTGATGCTACAGCAGTAGGGGGGTGCACTTTTTGGATGACATCTTACTCGTTTGGGAGAAAACGTGTATTAATAGTCCTGTTTTCGGTGATCCTACGTTGCATCCAACAGGTTTATGTAGAGTGTTTCTCCCTACCCGAAAAGTAAGATGAGGTAACAAACCGCTACACCGTAGCATCACTCTTCTTGTTTCGTGTTTTTTCCCGTTCCATGGCCGAGTCGAAAAGGGGGGGGACAGCAGCCGACTCTCGGGAAGTACCTTCTGGCAGTGGCAGTGACTTGTCCTCTCAGAGACAGATGCTGCGGGTGCTTCCTCTGTTTGAGAGCACGGCGTCTTGGGTTGCGAGAGTGCGTCTGTCTGACTTTCGGACGTGGGAAGGAGGTTGGGGTTTTGTAGACCGCCCCTCCTGGAGTACGTGTTGTTTACAGGAAGGGCTCAAGCCAAGCGCCCGGTCAACGTTGATCTGAGGAAGGCCGGACAATCTAGCCACATTCAGTAGTCGGTGTAGGTTGTGGCCTGAACCACATTCAGCTAAGAATACGCTCTCTGTGTTACCTACCGAATTCCTCGGTCTTCCGAGTTGTCGATGCTGCATCTCCCGTTTTTCCCTCCGCGAAATAGAGAGACGCGCGCAGCCTTCAGCGCGTTGCTTGATTTGCACTCATCTCCGCGCGTACCGCTGCACGCCTAAGGAAATCTTCTTTCCACGTGATTGCCAACCCTTGCACACAAATGCACAGGATGCTGGGCGCGTTCAACGTACTCGCCTACGCCTCAGCCGCCTGCATCTTCCTCCTTGGCCTCTGCCCTGCCACCACGCTCGCCGCCATCCTCTTGTCTGCGCCGGAGGCCCTCTCCATCGCCCGCGCCTTCAACCCCTCTCTGACGCCCGGGCAGCTCACGCGGGGATGCAGCACCTCCCCTTCTAAGCAGACTGGCGAAGCAGCGGCAGGCGACAGCGGGAAACAACAACGCCCTTACCGCTTGGAAGGCCTGGTGGTTCGCGTTCTGAAGCACGGTCCGGGGATCGTTCTTGCCGTCTTCGCGGACACGGTGCTGCGAGAGGCGATGGCGGCCGGTTCGGCGGCGGCGGCGGCGACAGCGGAGGACAGCGGCATCGAAGGCGTTTCGTACTGGGGCAGCTGGCTGTCGGGCACCCTCGGCGTAGCGCTGTCCCCGTCTCTGGCGGTGCGATGCCTCCCGCTCTTGCCGTTCGTCTACTTGTTCTTCCTGTCGACCCCCGGCAAGCCCGCACCGCCGTCAAACACGGCCACGAGCACGACCGCGCAGCAGCTAGCTTCTTCTTCAGCCGGAGGATGGTCGTCTGAGTCGGCGGCGGCGGCCGCAGGGGCGAAGGAGAAGGAGCGGGCGGCAGGGGTGGTGGTGGCCGGCGGGGGCGTTGGAGGGCTTGTTCTCGGCGCTTGCCTGCAAGAGCTCGGCCTGCCGTTCGAGGTGAGTGAGTCGTCACGTTTTTCTTGTCTAGAGGATGATGAGGAGGAGGGTAGATTTGTGGTTCGACGCGGGCAGGGCAGGGCAGAATCAGAAACGGAGAAGGGCTGCGTCAACAGAGAAGGCGTTTCTTTTGGGAGGGGTCGGTGCGGTGAAACATCGCCAGACACGAAATCGCCGTCTATTCAAAGGGCTTGCAGGGTTCTTCCACCCCGGCAAGAAAAACTGTCCCCCGTCTTTGCCGATATTGCTTCAAAGATGGAGTGTAGGTGTGCACAACGTGTTCAGGGACTATTTATTATGTTGTCCTTGTACACCAGAGAGAGTGCTCTGAACTGGCAAGAAGCTTCTAACTCCCCAACTCCACACCGGGGTGTCAAAAACAAACAAACAACAGCGACCACTCTGCTGCACTCCATCCACACGCCGCGGTCGCTGCTTCCCCGACAGATCTTGGAGAAGAGCCCCAACGGCGAGGACGTCGGCGGGGCGGACATCGCCCTGTGGCCGGCGGCTACGAAGGTTCTCAAGGAGCTCGGGGTGGGATCGGCCGCCGATTCCGCTGCCGGCGACGACGGCGATGATGATTTCGTAGACCTGGCGGACTTCTGGGGGAGAAAGACCTACCCCGTCCGTTTTGTGCGCATCTGCAAGGTGGACAAGAACGGCGTCAAGAAGCAGCAGCAGAAGCCATCGTCGCCTGCGGCGGCGGCACCGGAGACTGTCCTGACGACGGTTGACATGGACGCCGTGGTCACCGGGGAGGGCGAGCCGTTCCGCCTGGTGAGCAGGAAGGCGGTCATGTCGGCGCTGCTGCCGCTCATCAACCGGGGCAGGCTGCGCAGGGGGGTCCGCGTGGTGAAGGCGGAGCAGTCCACCCCGCCGGGAGAGACGACGGCGACGGTGCACATCGTTCCCGCGGCGGCGGCGGCGGCGGGGGGGGGTGGCGTCGGCGGCAGCGGCGGTAGCAACAACAGCTCGGCGGCGGAGCGCGTGGAATGCCGCGTCCTTGTCGGCGCCGACGGGATCCACTCCATGTGCCGCGTGGAGGTGTCGGCCGCGGCCGCCAGGTTGTCTTCCTGGGGGTACAACGACGGTTCGCGCCCCGCCTCCGAAGCTCCGGCAGGCGTCCCCCCCTCCCCGCGCGCGAAGGGGGTCCGCGACGGGGGCGAGGTGTGCTACCGGGGGGTCCTGGACCTGAGAGACGGGGCCCCCGCGGCGGCGGCGGCGGGGCTGAGGTCGGTCTTCGAGGAAGACGAAGAGGCGCGTCCAGGATCGATGAGCGTGGTCTACGGCGACCGCATCCGGTTCTCGTGGGGGTTCATCGACGGCACCGGCGAAACCGGGTATTGGTTCGTGAAGCAGCTCACGGGGACGAAACACGACCGTAGTGGTTCGGGTGGAGAGGGCGACCAGAAAGCTGGCGCGCGTGGAGACGCTCGGCTGCTCGCGAAGCGGTGGCCGGAGCCCCTCCGGACGTTGGCTGAGATGACGGGAGAGGAGTGCTCGTACGTGCATCGGATCCAGGACAGGCCGCCCATCGACAGGTACGAAGTCGCTTAAGTTTTTCCTCCGGGTTTGATATCTACGCGGTTGTCTCAGCAAGCATCTGCCGCCATGCACCGCGTGGTGTGCAGGAGGAAGCTCCCGCAATCGTGCCGCCAACATATTTTGTTCGCTCCCGCTTGTCGCATTTGTTCGAGATTCCCCTGTTCTGTCCGCAACTTTGTCTCTAGACACCTCTCATATGGTATTGGGGTATGGTCTGCTGTGCGACTGGACCTCACACATGAACTGACAAGGCGCGGCAGTTTCTATCGCTTGAGAATTAGTCTGTCGTCCTTTGGAGTCCCCTTGAATATGCCCCCCAAGGGCCGCGCTGTTGGACAGAGAATTTGGGGCACATTGGGCCTGGGAACAGGATTGGGTCCGATTTGTTCTGCATCTTGATTGGGAGGACCGAGGCGAGGGATCTGTCCAGATGCTGTAGTTCCCGCGCTGTTTTTTTGCCGCGGGAATCGTTCTGTAATTTGCGGCGGCGCTGCGGCAAGCAAGCCCATGACATCTACTGCCAACGGTGTTCGCCAAGAATCACTAATACCCTTGGGCTGCACAAGTTTTGCAACTAAATCTGTAAATCTTATGAATCATTCTGTTGTTGCCGCCTGCTCTTTGGGTTTGCAGGTGGAGCTCCGGCAACATCACCCTCCTCGGCGACGCCTGCCACCCGGCGACCCCCAACAACGGGCAGGGGGCCTGCATGGCCATCGAGGACGCCTTGGTGCTGGCGACCTTGCTCGCAGAGCACTGGGAGAGGCCCGACGGTCACGTGGAGGCTTTTTACCTGTATGAGGTAAGCCGCAGCAGCCGTGACTTCTTACGGTTTCATCTCGGCCGTTGTCTGCCCCGAGTTGGCCACCTCCAACGCTGTGCTCGCTCCGAGTGTTTGCTGAGACCAAAACTGCGGCACTACTCAAATTCGAATCAGAAGCGACCCGATGGAAACGTACGAACTGGTATTTTTTTTCCCTCTGACCGTAACTCTGTGCAACCTCGGTCGAGTGTACCAGGTATTTGTTTCCCGGTTAGGACTTTGCAATAGATAAAGATTCGTTTTTTTTGCACTTGTTTTTCGCGCGTGTTTCCAGAGGGCGCGCCTGACCCACACGAGGCGCGTGCAGGGCGAGTCCCGCAAGCAGATGAAGCTGGGGCAGCTGACGAACCCGGCGGGGATCTGGCTGCGCGAGCTGGTCATCGGCGCGCTCCCGGCTTCCTTCCTACAGAAGAAGCTGCGCGCGGCCAACGTTTTCGACATCGACCCCTGGCTCGACAGGTTCAGGGCGCTCAAGGCGGAGAGGCAGAGGGCCTAGATACGGTTTCGCAACGCTCTTGCAGTTATTCTTGCCATGTACATCCTCCTTCGTCGAAGTCGGGTGGGTAGGGAGGACGTGGTGTTTTCCGTCGAGTGTTGGTTGACGTATGCCTCACGCTCAAGCGAACTTCGAGGCGCCTCATGCTGGTTTATGTGATACCAGGACTTTCGGGTGACGGCTGCCACTAGCGTAGTGTTTGTGGATGAGATCGGGGGAGGGGGGGGAAGGGGGGAGTTGCCAGCAGGCTAACAATAAAATAGAATGTTGGAGAGACATCTGTAGGGTGCGTGGTTCGCCGGGACCGAGCGAGCCGAGTTGCCAGAATATGGGATTATGCGAGACGGGTGGGCAAAATTTTCAACAAGAGGCGCGCCTAAATCTTCGGTTTGTATCTAGGAGCGTAGCGTTTCGATCGGTAGCTTTGCATTCCGACATGTTGGAGTTGTGGATGTGATTGGCGCAGATGTAGTTGTTGACGGGTACTGCTACGCAGCAGGCGGGCGTGCACGGAGGGTCCTCGTAACCATTTGTGCATGTGTTGCTGTAATGATATTGATCTCGTGTGTATACATGCCGTGGTGGTGGAGGTTTTGGTTGTATGAGGAGGTTACAGACCGGGTGTGCGCATCATGCTGTGTCTCGCTCTGCAGGATACTCCTTCTAAGCAGGCGGCATTGCGTGTATGTTGTATGCTATCGCGACAGACAGGGACAAAGACGCACCGAAAATTCCGTCGAGGACGGACGCTAGGCGGTGGGAATTCGCCCCCAACAAAAATCGCCGGCGAAGCACAAACACTTTGATAAACACTTCTGGGGGGTGCCGCTATCTTTTCCTTCTCCCTCGCGTTTGAGTTCATCCCGGTGTGTCTTGTTTTCGCCAGGGCTGTGGCCACCTAGAAAATCGAACGCATCCGTTCCAGAAGAACATTGTTGCTGGTAAGCACATAATGTTGTTTTCGTCATTTTTTCTCCTCAAAATCTGTTCCAGAAACTGGAACATTGAGCACCACCTGGGTACCCCTGCTGGCAAAGACACGAACCATGCCTGCCAGTGCGCAACGCCAACGTGCCGTATGGTGCGGCAAGGTCCACCACGAAGCGATACTGATAGTCTTTCCGTGACCTGTTGACGCAACAATTGCCTCACGGAGTCTCGGATAAACGCATGGCTCGAAAAAGAGAGACTGCAGCAAAAAAAAAAACACCACCGAAAACAGCACAAGAACAAAAGATACGTGGACCCTTACAGTACAACGAAACAAGGCTGGCTGCATTTCAAGCCTCGCAGCCCCCTTGTCAACGTAGATGCAACCCCACCTAGGTTGGCCCGTCAAAAATACTCCGCGCCATGGGATGTTTTTGCGGAGAGATCAACCCCCCATCTCTATCTAGGAATACCCCGGATTTATTTCCAAACCAAAACCAGAAACTGAAATGGAGCACCTGGGTACTCCTGCCGGCAAAGATACGAACTACAGTATGTCTGCCAGCGCTCAATGCCAACGTGCCGTATGGTGCCGCAGGATGCACCACCAAGCAATACTGATACTCTTGCCGTGACCTGTTGGCGCAACAAATGTCGCATGGAGTCTCGGATAAACGCATGGCCAGAAAAAGAGAGACTGCAGCAAAAAAAGAAAAAACACCACAGAAAACAGCACAAGAACGAAAGATGCATGGACCCTTACAGTACAACGAAACAAGGCTGCAATTCAAGTCTCGCAGCCCCCTTGGCAACGAAGATGCAACCCCACGGTGGCAACCTACGTTGGCCCGTAAAAAAATGCTCCGCTCCATGGGTTGTTATCACTTTCTTGGTGAGATCGACTCCCCCATCCCTATCTAGACCTACCAAAAATCATCCAATCGTCCCAGGGCGCGTTCTCGAAGAATCGTACGTTTCGCTTTACAGGGGGTTGCGACTCTCGCATCCTGGTGCCAATCCAGAATTGGAAAGGCTCCAACCCGTCAAGGGTTGGCTTCCCTTACGCGATACTGTAGTGTTCCGCTGTTTGCAGCAATGGGAAGGGCAACAGGAGGCGCGCAACCTTGTATTGACACGCCTCCTATGGATCTGCTCTCAAGATTGTAATGGGGGGGGTCAATAGCCGTTCACGGAACAAGGACATCGGTACCCGGAAAAACATGGAACGTGGCAGGTTTCCGCCCTCCCTCTCGCGAACTAGTCACATCATGTGCAAAAGGAAACACTGGCGGAAAGGATAGGTATATACCATATCGAAACCGCCGTACTGTACGCCAAAACTATGCCTACATCACTGCCAATTACGAAAAAACAGGATATCTACGATCACACACTAGTCCAACACCCAATCGTTGCCCGGAAGCATGGCTGCTTCCACGTACAGCCTTGAAACCAGCCATTTCAAGATGAAAATGTATACTCCGTGAGAGTCCCCGGTCGGACCGCGAGCCCGGCGGACGCGTCGATGACGGCGCCGTGGAACATGGTCGCCGCGGGGGAGGAGCAGAACCAGTACACCGCTTCCCCGACCTCTTCCGGCAGCATGAGCCGCCCTTGCGGCAGCGCCCGCAGGAAGCGCTCGAGCTCTCCGGGGCCACTGGCCTCCATCTTGTCCAGCGTGCTCGCGCGAAACATGTCCGTCAGGGTCGCCCCCGGGCACAGGCACAGGAAGTCGACGCCCCCGCTCGGGTGGTCGAAGTCTGACTCGGCCGTCGCCGCCGGCGCCGGCGCTCGAACATCGCCCGCAGCAGCAGTAGCAGAGGAGCCATCGTCGGCGCGCGCGGTAGCGTCGTGCCCGGCCTCCTGCTGCTGCCGCAGCTGGCGGCTGCGCGCCGCGAAGTACTTGGCGCCGTAGGCGACGGCGGCCTTGCTCATGGCGTCCGCGGAGCGGAACCCCGGGAAGACGGCGTGGGACCCGCCACCGACCGAGCCCACGAACAAGACCGTCTTCTTCTTTTTCGTGCTCCCGAGAGCGCATGGGAACGCCGAGGCTCCTTCTCGTCCACCTCCGTTTGCTGTTGCTGCTCCATCGATTGCTGCTGCTGTCTCAGTGACCTCTGCCCCCGCCACCGGATCCTCGTTCTCCCCGCGGGCAGGCGTGGGCGGCGGCACCATCATCGGCAACAGCGCTTCCGTGACCCACATCGGGCCAAGGGCGTTCACGCGCATCAAGGCCATGTCCTCGTCCGCGCGTCTGCGGGCTGCCTCGTAATCGTCGTCTGCCGTTAATCCTCTCCCGCTTGCTCCGTCTCGGTCAGCGGCGGCCGGGCGAGAAGAAGAAGGGACAGGAGGCGGCAGGCCGCAGTAGTTGCTCACGGTGGAGCTCCCGAGCGCGGCGTTGTTGACGACGGTGCTGATCTCCCTGCCTCCCCGCCACCGGTCTACCTCGGCGGCGAACGCCCTGACGCTGTCGAAGTCGCCCTGGTCGAGCCAACGGCCTTGCACGAGGCCCGCGGGCTGGAAGGACGCCGCGACCGTTTCCGCCGCCTTCGCGTCGGAGCAGTAGGTGAAGAGCACCCGCGCGCCGCGCCTGGCGAAGGACTCCACGCAGGACCGGCCGATCCCCTTGGAGCCTCCCGTCACCACGACGAGGAGGCGATCATCTAGCCGTTCATCACCTGGTGGTACGTCCGTTGCTGCTGCTGCCGCCGCAGCCGATCCTGCTGGCACCTGCTGGCCTGAAGCAGGTGGACGATGATGATGGGCACCGGTGGAATCTTCGTCACCACCACGTTCTGTTCTGTTCTCATACATCTCTAACGCTGCTGCTGTGCTGCTCGATTGTTGCAGCCTCCAGGACTTCGCGTACAGACTATACCCGCCTAGGTTTTGAGGCCTCAGCTGGTGGCGGAGAACCTGATAAACAGGAGAAGCCGAGAACGGTAGAGACTGCTGTGCGTGCGAGTCGGTGTGAGAGGAAATATCGAAGCAATAGATCGTCAGAGCAGTTGGCTGCGGCACCACATCCGGTCTGTGTGCGATTCGTGCGGCGGTTCTCCGAAAAGGCGGCGAGATTTACTTTGTTTCCTACGCATCACGGAGCCCCCACGGGCAAGAGAGGCAGGCCCCCGCATGGACTCTTTGTGCAGCAAGCGCAACAAGCGTGTGTCTGAAGCAGGCACCCATCCATCCTCACCCCTCCTTCTCTCCCCCCGACGCATGCGTCCGGTTGACCATGGAAGACGCAGCAGCAGCAGCAGTAGGTGGTCCCCAGAAAACTGTGGTGCTGGACGTTGTCGCCCTTAGCCGCAACCTGATCAGTGCCGAGCATACCCCGTTCCTTCATGATTACCTCTCCCGCTCGGATGTCCTGGATCGCAACGTGGAGCCGGCCTTTCCGGCCCTGACGTGTCCGGCTCAGTCGACCTACCTTTCCGGCACGGGCCCCGTGACCCACGGCATCACGGCGAACGTAAGATGTGGTGATCTCTATACAGCAGTGAAGAGTGTGAGAGAAATTGCTGTACAACATATTTGAGACAAGTGTAAACTTCTCTTCCTTTGAACTTCAAGGCGGAGTCCGGAGCTTCCACGTGTAGCTTGAGGTAAACCCTCTCGTGGCGTGCAGCAGCAGCAGCAGTGATAGGACCTCTCCAAGATTATTGGTTGTGATGTTCCGTATCGGGCTGCGGTGCATCGAGGGAGGTGCACAAAAGGTTTCTGGTGAAATGCCAACCCTCCGACACTGAAACAGTTCGGAATTGTAGGCAAGATGGGATTGGCCACCGAGCTGCGCCCAGCTTGTTACCCAAGAGAAAATATCGCAGCCTGTATGGTGCGCGAGGATAATTCGAAACACAGGGTTATGCAAGACTGCTCTGGTGCTATCGCGGATAATCCTGGACTACTGCTGTACTATCATCTATGGACACATTGGTCCCCACGATCGACCTCTTTTCTCCTTTCATACAGGCTATGTTGCTTTTGGGCGCAGCGATTCACCGCCACTGTCCGTAGATCGTGACAACGTGACAGGCGGTACAATTATCGCTATGCCTGTCGCGCACCATGGGTACAAGTATCTACAACAGTATCGTCCTTTATACCTGTCTTCTCTTTAGGCCCCGGTCTTGCGCCAGAATTGTACCCAGACTTCACACACCCAAACCAAGAGTTAGCCCGAAAGATCCACAGAATTTTCGGGTACAGGGGAGAGCCTGCGATCCGCTTTTTCCGAACCCAGACCTTTGGGCTCAAGTTAATCGCGGATTGGGCGTGGCGTCCGTTGTGCGTGGTGCGCGATTGCAAAGCACCTCCCTCGTGCTGTGTGGCGAGAGCGAAACAACGAGAGTCTTCTTGCAGTCTTTCGCCATCCTACCTCGAGTAGACCAGCAGCTGTTGGGAACTCTGGGCTGCGGTTCGCCCAGCTACATACGGGTTTGATTCATGGAATGCAAGTCCGCTCTTCCGACCCCAGAGTTCAGCGTGCTGGAACTGCAGCTGGAAAACAAGAGCATTTGACTAATGACTGTGGTAATGTCTCGAACGGGTGGTCTTTCCTTTGGATACTACTATAATATTAATATTAATAGTTTCTACTTCGTACGTGACTAAGAACCGAACTGCTGTCCTTTCGTCATTTCTCCCAAATCACACCGAGAGTTGTGTGTTTCTTCCCGGTCCAACTCTTGGTCTCTTGGTCTGGGTGTCGAGTCTGAGTGCACAATTCCAGTTTGAGGCCGGGCCTTATCTCTCGCTTGCACTTACTGCAATCTCGCACTCTCCTTTCGCTCCCCCGGCAAAGCAAGCGTGATTATTGTGTGAATCGTTAGCAAAAATGCAGCGCTCACCGGTTGCCAGCGCCACAACAATACAACCAACACGGGGGTGTACCTGCCCTTCCCCCTTTTGCTGTTGTATATTCGCCGGCCCCCCGTCTGGACCAATCAGAACATTTTGGCGGGTCTCTAGTGTGCACGTAGAAGAATGTCTCAAGATATGTCGACTCGGTTGTTTGACACGAATGACCGGCGAACACACACAGGGCTTCTATGACCGGTCGTACTGCGAGGTCAAGAACTGGCACCAGAGCTCCAAGCTGGTGCGCGCGCCCCGCATCTGGGACGCCCTGAAGGCCCGGCACCCGGAGGCCACCGTGTTCGTCAACGGGCTGTGGCACGGGATGCACGACCACGAGATCGACTACTTCATCAACGTCCGCCCGCAGTACCTCCAGAACGGGGGAAAGGTAAAAAGAGGGGAAACGAACGCGTACCTGCTTGCTGTACAGCAGTTGAAGGTAGACAGCAGTGTGTGTGTGTGTGCCTTGAAAATCCGCCGTGTTTGTCTTGAAGCGAGACATCGTCGCCACATCCCCGGGCGCCTTGTATTCGAGCCGGCGGCGACGTTCTTTCGAAACCCTCTAGTGCACCAATTTATTTTGGGCATGACAGACGAGAGATGTAAAGCGGCGCCACAACTAGTACCGGCACTGCCGACGCCACCCCGCCCACCCCTGCGTGCCTTCAAAATGTGTCGATGCCAAACGACGCGTTGCTTTTTCTACGCAGGTCGCCGACATCTACACCCACCCCGCGGGGCTGCGGGAGGAGCTGCAGGGGAGCCTGGGCACCTTCCCCCTCCACCGCTTCTGGGGCCCGGGCACGTCCATCGAGTCCTCCAAGTGGACGGCGGCCGCGGCCCTCCAGGTCGACAAGGAGCACGACCCCACGCTCACCCTCATCTACCTCCCGCACCTGGACTACAGCCTGCAGAAGTACGGCCCCCCTCCCTCGAGCGAGCAGGGGACGGCAGCAACGAACCCGGACGACCCCGACGGCAAGGTTCTGAAGGACCTCAAGGAGATCGACGAGGTGATGGAAGGGCTGGTGAGGTACTACGAGTCGGAGGCCGTCGGCGCGAGGGTGGTGATCCTGAGCGAGTACGCGATCGAGCGGGTGGACCGGCCGGTGTACCTGAACCGGGTGCTGAGAGAGGAGGGGCTCGTGCAGGTCAGGAAGGAGAACGGCGGCGAGACGCTCGACTGCGGCGAGTGCCGCGCGTTCGCGCTGTGCGACCATCAGGTGGGCGGTTGTTTGTTGCTGCTGCTGCTGCTGCTGCTGCTGCTCGATGCTAGCCGAGACGGGGGGAGGTGGAAGGGAAGGTAGTACGGTAAAAGAGAGACGGAGATAGAGATGTCATTGAGAAGGGGTGTGTGGATGGGGAGAGAGGCGCAGAAACGTGATAAACAATGCAGATGCAGTATTGTACTAGTAGCACGGAGCTCGACCGTGCCAACATTCCTCACGCAAGGCACCTCTTGCAACGTTGCGTGTGGCGTTTGCTGCGATTAGTCGGCGTGTCGGCGTCTTCCATCCAGCTCTGATTTGGCCCTGACCCCCCCCCCCCCCCCCGCTCTTCACTTTCTTCCAACCCCCCTTGCCAAGGTGGCTCACGTACACGTACGACACGCCGCTGACATCCCCCTGGTGCGGCGCGTGCTGTCGAGCACCCCTGGTGTGGAGATGGTGATGGACGCCTCGGAGCTCGACGCCTACTACCGAGATCGGGGAAAAGGCGACGAGGGCGGCAGCGGTAGTGAGGGCGGCGGCGGGGCGGCGGCGGCGGCCATGGCGGGAGAGGGGGGCCGGCGGGCGAGCGGCGGGCGCGGGGCGCATCACCCCGAGCGCAGCGGCGAGCTGGTGGCCGTGTCCGAATCCCGCTCCTGGTTCGCGTACTACTACTGGAAGGACGACTCGCAGGCCCCGGACTTCGCGAGGTGCGTGGCCATCCACCGCAAGCCGGGCTACGACCCGGCCGAGATGTTGTACCGGTTCCCGGGCTTCGCCGGCTTCGCGTGGCTCATCCTCAAGCTTCTCCTCGCGTACGGGCTCAAGCTCAGGACCAACGTGGACGCCACCCCGCTCCGGTGCGACAAGATCAGGGGCTCACACGGCCGGCTCCCCGGGGGGGACGAAGACCGAGACGACGAACCGCGGCCGATTATCATGTTCAGGACGAATGGTGCCGGGGTGGGGAGGGCGGGGGCGGTAGGGGTGGACCCCCTTGCCATAGATGACGGGCAGGTGTTGGAGCTTGGCAGGGAGGCGTGTCTGGAGAAGGGGCGCGTGGTGGTGGCAGAGGACGTGTATGAGGTCTTGTGGCGAATCTTGAACCGCGATATTTGAGTCGACTTTTTGCCGGGCGACACGTTTTTTTTTTTTTTTTGACTCCCCTCTGGTTTTATGGTAGCCATCATTTGGATGGTCCTCTCTGGCCAATTCCTGGCCAATTCCTGACTCTGGTTTTTGTTGTGGCGGCAGAGGCTGGTGACCGTCAGTCGACTGGTGTGCTTGGATATCGGTCGTGCCGCTTTTGTTTGCTCGCGTGACCGACCGAAGTCGACCGCGGATACGCAGCTGGCCTACACCAAGCTAACATTTTTTTGTTTCGGTGCGCTCGGATGTGGGGTATTCCTTCGGTGGATGTAGGTGATTCCCCCCCAATGTTTGTGTGGTGTGAAGTTGACCACAGGGCGCTTCGTTTATCTTGTGGGGACGGAGCGCTGCTGATGCTCAGTTCGGGTGTGGACTGCCAGCCCTGTCCGTCTGACGCATGCGGTAATTTTACCGCCGCGTGCTCTAGGCCTGGACAGGGGCGTGCAGTGCTGTTAGCCAAGAGTGTTACCTCGTGTTTGGGCGGTTGTGACGGTTGGGAGGGAGATTGCGGAAAAGGCTTCTTGCTGGCGTTTTTTCTCGGCAAGACTGCGTCGAGACGAAGACGCCCTTGAACCGATTTGTGGTTCGTTCCGACATTCATTCTCGTTCTTTGGTGCTTTTTCTGTACCGGTGTTTTTCTATGCGTATGCCGCCGTCGTCTTGCCTAGAAGTAGTTTCTATCTTTGGGCTTTGAGGACACGCTGATGCATGTGTACTACTACTACTGTAAACAAATGATTTTCTTGTACCTTTACACCAAGTGGTTTTCAGTCTTCGGCCGAGAAGCAGCTTCGCTAGCAATGTCGCATTTTTCGGTGGAAAGTGCTTCACGCGTTCGCGTCTTGGCGCGGCGTTTTTTTTCGCGGATTTGTGTCCGCCCCCGGTCGGCAGGGACAGCAATAGTCAGTCCCGAAGCATAATTTAGACCGTTTTCCCTTTTCTTCGGGCCGTTGTCGAGGTTATTTCATCATTTTTTTTCTCCTTTTTTTTTTCGCAGGTGGTGCTGTATTCTACCAGAAGCCTTTGCTTCACGGAGTATAATAAGCGCTTTGGGTTTCCAAATGAAATGAACGCCTCAACGACTTTTGTCGTTTTTAGTAATTGCAGAAAATTGTTCCTAACTCAGTACAGACTACAATATACGAGCTCTTGAGCGCTTTGTGTCTTACGAAGGTGGGTTGGTCACCATTTGCACCCGGGTGAAGGGCGGGAGCGCACGTTCACCAGTGTTTCCGCGGTTTGACAGCGATTCCGAGTTGGTGCGCGCTCTCATCATCGTGTCGTGTTGCCAGGGCAGAGGTTGGCCGAACCGCCACCTTTTCATCCCCCGTTTCGAGCGCCTCTATAGTTTGGTCTAAGTTATATATACATAACTATGTAGCAAGCGCCATGAGAGCGACGCTTACTTACTTTGCTTGCGTCTCTCGTCACGGGCTGACTGCTCGGGCATGTTGTTGGCAGTCAGCCGCAAACAACGCTCATCTTGAGGGTGACGACGACGGGCGTGCTTTCCTTTTGCCTCTCCTTTCTATCGCCGGGGCTTTTCCCTTCACGGCTTTAGTCTGTTCCACTACTGGAAGAAGAGCGAGGGAGGCGTGTCCCTTGCTGTGCAACTGGAGTTACACGAGTTCGCACATAAAGTTTTTGAGCTGACGGTCTGTATCTTACGTACTGAGTACTCCTCTCACATCCTTCAACTTGTCTACATATACATCTCTCGACGTTGTTGCCATTCCCTTGAGGTTCAACCCAAGCCTGCAACCTTCTCGGCCCAGCGTGACTCTCCTTGCTCTGATCCAGCTACTACTGGAGTGGGAAAACGATTCCCTTTCGTATCATGGTCGGCTTGTTCATCATACCCGGTACCAAAAAAAAACTAAAAACTCACGGGGAGTGGGAAATGCCCCCCTCAAGTCACCTACACTACTAAAAAAAAAAAGACCCGAAAAAGAATTTAGTGTATGTACTGACCAAGTCTACACACACACATGAACGCCAAACATAAAATGAAATATATATATCCAATCCCACTACTTGTATCATGTGACCTTCCTCCTGCGCGACTCCACCAGACGCGTCCAAAACATTCATGCCGATAAGATATGATGACTAGATACGATGTAACGCCCAGATTGGACGAGATTAGATTAACACACCAAAAAATACCTTACAGCTTGAGGACAGTCTGATAGATATATAAACAAATCAGCAGCACTATACTACACATATCTTATTTTCGACGAACGAACACGCACCCAGCTCACTGCACGAAACGGCCTGCTCTGCGTTTCCACGACACGGTTACGTTTGCATCATCACGGCGGCTGCACGGACAGTTCTCCAGTTAGCATTCCGAGGCTTGCGACAGCAGCAGCAGCAGCGATACCCCCTCAGGCGGGTGTAACAAGCGGTCGGCAGGCGCAGCACTTCCTCTTTCCCCTTTCACCACTGCTGTAAAGACTGCCTGCAACACATCCCTTCTACTGGGGCAACATCTCGAACGGGAAGTCTTCCGTGAAGAAAACTAAAAAATCCATCCCACAACAGGTCAGTTTAGAAGACCATTGTACAATAGCTGGCTGGCGCCCCAACGTCGATGCAGCGACAAATAAATGGAGCCGGATTTGTGGTGTTCTCCTCCGAGGCGGTTAAGACACAAAAATTGAAGGCAAACAATGGTGATGGCTGGCGTACGTTACAAGCGCGTATGGGACAGCAGTAGTGCCATGCCCGTGGCATGACGCTCCCTCCCCCCATCCTTTCACATGTGCCGGGGCGGAAAAGCCGAGGCAGGCAGACAGGCGAGAGACCACCAGTCACTGGGTGAGGACGGACCCAATGACAACGATCGTGCCGCAACAAGGACGGCCGCGACCCCCGACAGGCAGGATGCGATATAAGAAACATTTCCTTCAGTAGGGGTAAGACGAGGCCGACTGGCTGCTGCTCCCGTCGGTGTTCTGGAGTCCCAGGAAAAAGGAGAGCGCGTACACCCCGGCCCCGGCGCCGTTCGAGCCTAGCGTCCTCTTGGAGGCGGCGTTGAGGATCCACGACCCGGCGTTGCGGACCCGCTTCTGCTGCGTCTTGCTGCCGGAGTAGGCCCCGAACAGGGCGGCGAGGACCGAGAGGAACATGAAGACCGCCGCCGTTGGGTTGACCGCGAAGAAGATGAGCGACACGATGAGGAGCAAGAACATGAGGCCCTTGTACGACTTCCGCTTGAACAGCGGCGGCGACGGAGGGGAGTTGTTGAAGCTCCCGGCATTCAGAGCGCTGGAGTTGGGGGTGGGCGGAGTACGGCAATGGGGGGGGCATGTGTATGGGGTTAGTGCGGTGGTAATTAATGTTGCCCGGGGGAGAAAGAGGCACACTCTACCGTGGTGAACTCGATCACGCAGAACTTCAGAGTGTGCATACAAGTTGTTGGAAGTGGTGAGAACGATGGCATGGTTTGATCCGTCCACGTGCATCATGCCGGTCGCCCCGGTGGTCTAGTTGGTATCCTCGAAACCTTCTAGAGGTCAGGTCAGGGGTTCGAATCCCGGCGTAAGCGAGCTTTTCTTGCAAAGTGAGTTTTTCTCTCGCTTCCGCTCCTGGCCTAGAGGATAGCGCTAGTTCCTGTGTACACGGAGGGAAGAGAGTGCTGAAATCTTCTCGCATTAAAAATCGAAGGCAGAGTACCGCAGAAGGGGAGGGCAGAGAGGGGCTGTTCTGTGTGACCACGGGTTGGAGGAAACGGCACTAGTGCTGTGAGCGCTGATTTGAAGTGAAGACAAAAAAAAAGAAAAAAAATCATGATTTCAGCATCGTTATGACAACTCCCCCCTTCCCTAGAGTTGCGTACGTATGCCATGGTTTGTCTCACGTGGGAAGGCTCTTGCACTTCATCCAGTCGGCCGTCCTGATGGTAATGTTGGCTTCGATAGAGCGGGCCATCTCGTACAGCTGAGAGGCGGGGATTGACGGATGAGCCATCGCCGTCGTCTCTTTCACGGAATTGGAGGCGCAGTCCACGTAGCTATTCCCGGAATTTGGAGCGACGTGGGTTTTCGTCGCAAGGGTGCGCGTGGCGTTGTCGACGAGGAGGGAAGGGAGATGGAAGAGGAGAGGGGGGTGGTTTTGATGGTGTGGTCGACAAAACTAAGACAGCCGAAGGGGTGACTTTTGTTCCGCGAGAGCGTGGATCGTTCCTAGGAAGAGACGAAAGGGGTGCCGGATTTCCGTGAGCCGATTTACTGTTAAGCTTAGTATTTCAAGCGGAGAGTGTTGGAAATTGGAAACACGACGTGCTCCTTCTCTGGCCCAAGGCTGTCATTGCAAATACTAAGTCAAGTGCCACACAACCCCACACACGAACAGTCCCGCCAATACCCCACTTTTCCGCGGCAACAACCGAGTCCACTTGATGGGTTTGCTCTTACCGAATGACCAAGGCGTGGCGCATGTGGCGCGTCTTGTCCCAGCGGCTCATGCAGTCACCCGGATCGTGGTCTCCGAGCGTCTGCGTGACGCCGTGAATGTTCTTCTCGGAGTACATGGTTCCCCCCGTCGGGCAGCAAAGGAAATCCACTTACAATACCAGTAGAAAAGGGGGGCGGAAGCGGGGATAGATAGGCATACGAGGTTTGGTCAGGAGGTCAGCGGACACACGACAAAAAATCACACCAGGGACTTCAACGCATCATCCCCTTGAACTGCTGCTGCTGTGCTATTATCTCGAACGTTAGGCTTCGTGTGACTGTATCTATATTCTCAAAAAAACAAAGCAAATAAACTAATGAAGATCACCAACAACGAAGAGGAAGGAGATAGAGCCGCACAACATGCCCACAGCCGCGTGGGTGGAACGGTGCGGTTGGGTCTGGATTGATGAAGGGGCATCGGCGTGGCCCTAGTGTACACAATGAAAAAGCTGAGCGAACGAAAGTCTTTTCCAACCTTTCATCCCCCAACTTCTGCAACACACCAGCTCGGTGAGTATCATCGAATTCCTACGCTCATCTGATCATCAATTCGGTGGGCTACGCAGCGCACGGGCTACGGTTCGAGAGAGAATGATAACGAGTAATCTTGGCGTCTGTTAGATGTCAAATGTCGTACTTCACCTGAACAAACACGGTGTCACACAGCGAAGGTGCACATAAACAGAGCCCATGCGTATCAACAGGGCATAACAATGTCAACTACCTCGATAACACTAACACTTGCGAGCGAGAACCCCGCTTGCTGGGGCGAGCAGCTGCAAGTCTTGGGGGCTACCTGCCCCCTGCCCCCCGCTCTCTTCGGCGACACTCGCTTTCTGAGACCTTGTCCCTGTCAATCTCACGAAATAATACCGCCTGGTCGTCCTGGTACTGCTGTCAGCGAGGTCACTCACAGATGTCGTTGAAGGTGCAGGTGGAGGTCTGGTAGGAAGTGGTGAGCTTCTGCTGCACGAAGACCTGGAGCACCTGCTCGACGCGGGGGGGGGGGGGGATAACGACAACAACCAGACAGCCACGCACCGTCACACCGACGGCATCGGCCAGCAGCCAAGAAGAATCAGCGACGAAAGCGGCGAGGTCAGCGGCGGCCGCGGCAAAAGGGGTGGGGGGGTGGTGGTGGTGGTAACGAAAACGGCAAGGTGAAAAAATATGTCTCGGGTGCTGAAGGGTACGACACCGCTACGCCAGATGATCAACTGCCGGCGAAAGAAGGCTGCCCGGCTGGCTACCTCACCATCTTCGGGGTTTGGCACGGACCTCACGGCACAAGAGGACACACCAGCACAAAAAACACTTCTCGAGGGACACGACGCCCCCGTAACAAGGTGAGAGAATCACAAGAATAAAACGTGCGCCGAGCCTCCTTTCTCACATCAGAGGCGTTGATGGTCGCGTAGTACGCGTTCCACGTCCGGCGTGACCAGCGGGTCGTGGAAGCACGTCAGCAGCGACGCCATGCAGCGCATCTTCGGCAGACCGACCTCCGCCGAGTGATTAGCCTGGGCGCCATTGGGGCGAGAGCGGGGTGAGCGGGGCGTACTCATGTTTTACATGCCTCAGCGGCTATTTACTATTTACCATTGAGCGTGCGTCCTCGAGAGGACGGGACTTTTTTCCCACAGGCCGATCACCGATGGCTAATCGTGTGTGTGTGTGTGACCAAGCCGACTCGTATTGGCGATGGGCGGCAACAAAGGTAGCGTAGTGGACTTGATCGACGATCGGCCCAACCTGCCACCGAGAGCATAGGGTGTTCGCCGCCCAGGAGCATGGGGCAAGCAGAGCAAAGGGACGAGGGAGGAGAACATGTAGCCAGGGGGCCGCCGCCGGCGGCACTTCGTAAGAGAGAGGGGCGCTCGTGGAGGTTCCTTTTCCCTCAGCTCACACACTCCATCTACGTGTGATCCATCCGTCGCTCACGGTTCGATTACACCCTTGTGGACATAGAAACACGCCGCCTGTTCGTTCGCTGTTGCTGGGAGGCCAATGTCGAGGAAACTCGAAACCAATTCTCCCGCTGAGTCGTTCCACCACAGTACGTAGGTTAAAGATCACGCCATCCCACATCTTCACCTGAGTGAAGATGAGGCGCTTCTTGTTGGTGAAGACGACACGGCACCGCTGGGTGACTTCGTCGAACACCCCGGGGGCTTCCTCCAGCCCGGCGAGGTCCAACGCGTTCACCACCTTCTCGCCCTTCATGAACGTGAACTGGTGGAGGTCGTCGTGGGTCGTGACGCTGTCCTTGATGGCGTCCAGGTGCTTCCTGGCGCACTCGATGTCCCACTTCTCGAGGTCCCTATTGTGCCGTAGATACGAGGGCGAATCGCAAGGGGGGGGGGGGGGGGTCCCGTCATACGCCCAGGCAAGAGCGATTCTTTGGCACACTCAAGACCCTGCTAGAGGTGTTTCTTGCTGATGAGGTGTGGACGGGGGAAGTATTGACAATGTTGTCTTCGACCTACGCACCTTAGAGACCGGCTCAAAATTGCCTGGGTAAGCCGGCTCCCATAACCGTGGCCACCCCCGTCAATGCGCCCGTATCGATCTCGAGACTGCTATCATTGTAGTCCGAAAGCTTTTTCAGAAGTTTGGAATCGGTACTGGCGCTCCTCGTCTACGGTACCGACATACTTGGGGTAAACAAACCAATGGAACATGAACCAAACAATGTGGTCGGCACAACCATGCAAACGCCCCGGAAGCTCGCGCTCGAGGTCGCACCCACTGGGGTGCGCCTACGACCAGGTCATACATATGCCCCGCCGGTTCTTGCAATCTTGCAACACGCGTACTTACGCTGCCACGCCGCTCGTCATCTGGAGCATCTTCCGGCTGCTCGGATCAATCTGTGCCATTTTCGGGTCTAACCCCGTGTGATGGCCCTGCCGTTCGTGAGTCACGGCGATCGCGCCGAGGGTCAGCGGGCCACAACAAAAACACACGAAACAAACGCGACATGCAGAGAGAAGGGAAATAACAGACTTAAGAGCTGCAAGGACCTGTCGAGTGGGCGCAGGATGTACGCACAAAGCAATAGAAGTAAGTAGAAGTACGTAGGACCGAACAACAACGTCCAGCACGAGAAAATAATTTTCCGCTCCCGCCACTCGGCGTCCCTTGTGGACATCTAGTCTTAACTCTTCCAAGGTCGACCGACCGACCCACGCGAGGAGGTACCGGCGACGGTGGCTAGACTTTACCCGCACCGGCAAGAAAACGATATGCTCGAACGTAACCACCGGCCGACGTGACTACCTCTTGCCGCACCCAGGTCTATGTCATGTGTGATGATCGCGCCCTTCCCCCGATAAATCCCAAGACATGAAAAAAACACCACACACAAATAGAAGAAGAAAGCACGCGCGGTGATGAACTATGCGCTGTGGTACATCAGTATCGGCATGCCCAACTACCTCTCGCAAGCAACACGCACCAGCAGGTTCTCCCTCTCGCGGTCGAACTGGGCCGCCGTGAAAGGGTACACGTCGGTGAAGAAGTACGCCTCGTCCACCTCCGCCGCCGGAGCCCCGATGGCAGTGCCGCGAGCGGCGGTCATCCGCGGCGGCGGAACCTCATACGCGGGGGGCGCCGGGGGCGCCGCTGAGGCCGCGTAGGTAGGGGGACCTTGCGTCACGGCGCTGCTGTCGCCGTCGTCGGCATCGTACGGCGGCGGCGTCCGGCCCGGATAAACAGGCCGGTTCATGTTGTTGGCGTCCCCGCCCCCCTTGCCGTTTTCAGTCGCGGCCGCCGGGCCGCTAAACAGGCCGCCGCCGCCGAAGGTGTCTCCGCCGCCGCCGGACATCCTTCCTTGGCTGTCGGCGTTGCTGCTGCTCTTGCCGGTGGGGTCTCTTGCGCTGTCGCCGCTGATGATGCTGCGGCCGGTCCGCTCGCGGGAGCCTCGGCCGCCGCTCTCGTCGCGCCCGCTGCTGCTGCTGTGAGATCTCCTGCCCTCCTGCCGTCGTCCATCGAAAGGTTCACGCACGTTGCACGCACAGACGAATACAATAGTAAGCTCTTGCATTGTTGTGCGACGATGGTGTTCTTGCTGTGCGACCCTCTGGCTACATAGTCCATCCGGAGCATGTGGAACAGCTGTCGTCGTGTAGATAGAAATTGAAACGTAGAAACTGACGTCCAGAATAGATGTGGGATTCGCAACACAGACACACACGTCCTGAAATATGAAAACCGGTAGTCCGGTTGGTGCGGCCTGTGCTGATTCAAGAGACACACTATTTTTGCACCGCTCCAAAGCTAGGATATAGGGCCTATCCCTCACCCCAGCCCAAACCTATGGCATTGGATTGTGCTAGGTCACTGTACCAAGCAAGCCTCGGCAGCGGCAAGCCGTGGCGGTAGGTTGCTGTGCACCGTTGTAGCGCTACATAGGTTGCTGCTGTACCGTTTAGGCTAAGCGGCGGCGCAAGAGGGGGTAAGGGCAATGCAGGTCGCTGTGCACCGTTAGGGCGAAGTCTGTGCACCGTTAACGCTAGGTTGCTGGACGGTGAACCGCTGCAGCGCATGGGCTGCACCTACCCAAGGAATGTTCCGGGAAATGGTATTCCGACATTGAGACCATCAGATACGACCAAGTCGTTGGCACTACAGTAGGGGCCAGTTTATTTGAGTGTACCTTTTTAGGGTAAGTTAACCTGTGACCACGGGAATCGACCGCGTCGAGTGTTGGATCAGTACGGACATACGAAGGTACTGGGTAGAGAGAGATCGGAACGGTTTTTAATGTGAAGACAACAACAACAACAACAACAACAACAACAACAAGGGTGGCCCTTTATAGTGGCAACCTGAATAGTGAAATGCCCGATATAGTGGCATAAAAATATAAAAATCTCCTGGCAAAATCTCAACCCGATATAGTGGCACTTTCCCACCATTGAGGACGGGGCCCTCAATACAGTAGGGGGCCCGCTATAGTGCCGGTGCCCGGTATAGTGCCGGTAAAATTTCGGGACACGAACAGCGCCCTCAATAGTGCCGGTCCGGCACTATTGAGGGCTGGCCCGTTATAGTGCCGGTTGGGCGCCGCTGTGCCCCCCAATGGTGCCGGTTCACTACTGCTGTAGTGCTGTAGACACACACACACACACACACCACAACACACGCCAGAGGACAGACGCCACACTGAAAAGAGTGTACACCTGCTGCTGCAGACCCTAAGAGCTCTACGCAGAGGCGCACGCACCATGCCTTGTGCGGAAGGTGAACTGTGCCTTCAACAGAACCGAACGCCGCAAGACCCTCATGGCCACATCTGCAAGGGAAGATGTGGCGGGCGGCTCCACGGCAATTGCGGCAGCGTGTTTGAGGACAACGAGCAGCACCGCATCTGCAGCGCGTGCGTCGCCAGGACTGGCAAGCGCATGACTCCGTAGACGAGGAGGTCGCCGAGCTCTTCGCAGATCTCGACATCGAACCCGGACAGCCGGTCGAGGGAGAAGCGGTGAGCGCGATTCAGGGGTGGGCTACCATCGAGGACGACGATGAGGTGGTAGAGGCTCTTCGACTGGACGCAGTGGACGAAATGGCGGCACTGCTGGCTGGAACGCATGTGACTACCGGCGGTGGGGAGGAGGACGAAGAAGAGGAGGGTAGTGGCGATGACAACACGGGGACCGAGCGCCGTGCTCCACCCGCTTATGCTGAGCTGTCGCCTCACTTCATCGTCCTGGAAGCGGCAGCAGAGGAGAGTGGCAACGGAGACGAGGCGTTCTTCCTAACGAAAGCGAAGATGGCGATGATTGCAGCGCATTCCGCTAAGCGGGTGCGCCAGGCAGACATGAGAGAGTTTGTTGCTGCTACGGAGTAAGGTCGAGGGGAACAGCTGATGTAGCAATGGTTGTTTGCTGTTGCTTCCAGTGCGCTTCCTGTCGTGCTTTTCTTTTTGTCTTGTTTCTTCTAGTAGCATCCAAGGGGGTGCGCCAGGCAGACATGAGGGAGTTGCTGCTACGTTGCGAGGGCGGCGGGTATAACTGTGGTAGGTAGTAATGGTTGTTTTTTTCTCGCGGTGCGCTTCCTGTCGTGCTTGTGTTCTTCGGGTTGTTTTGATTGTTTCTTGCAACATCCAAGGGGTGCGCCAGCAGGCAAACATGATAGAGTTGCTGGTACGTAGTGAGGGCGGGGAGAATAGCTGTGGTAGCATGTAATGGCCGTTTATTTTCCGTGCGGTGCGCTTCCTGTCGTAGTTCTCTGCTGTCTTTTTTTTATCTGGTAACATCGAAGGAGAGCAACGAGGACTTACACGTCCACTCATAGTGCACACATATTCGATCCACGATCCACGATCCACGATCCACATCGTACTGTGTTGGCCCCGCAAAGCTTGAGCGCTACACCATGAAACCACCACCTCCTCAATAGTGCCGGACCGGCACTACTGAGGGATATTCGAAGCCTCATTAGTGCCGGTCCGGCACTAATAAGGCACTATTCTAAATACTGCCGGTGCCCGCTATAGTGCCGCTTTTCCCTCTGGACACTACCCGGCACTATAGCGGGCCCCCTACTGTAGTGGCATATTGGCCATCTCACACACCCAATTGTGGCAATTCCAAACAGCGCGCCCCCACCTGCCCACACCACCCTCAGCAGTGGGCGCCACACGCATCATCATGCCAGCCAGCCTGCGCGGACCTACAAGTGTGTAAACTCCCACACCGACCACTGGGAGAGAAAGACGGGCACACACGTCGTCTCGGCTGCGGTGGCCGGCTTCATGGTATATGTGGTGAACCAGAGGAGGAGGGCGGCAGAGAAATACACCGCGTCTGCAACCCGTGCATCGCCAAGAAGCAAAAGACACCCGACTCCTCGAATCTCAGCCTAAGCGTGCCTCCCCCAATTCGGGACTTGTCGGAGATGGCGCCGGCGCGAAAAACAAGAAGTTCTCCCATACGAAGTTGCAGAGCATCGTGGCGGTTGGGTTGATGCGCCGGGGTGGAGAGCGTTTGGCTCTACAAGCTTTGTTGCTTCAGTTGTGATTTCTTCCAAGTGTGTTGAACCCCATGTTACATAGCTCGCCGGACAAAACATATACAGTGGGTCCCTCTATAGTGCGGGTGCCCGCTATAGTGCGGGTGAAATCGCTTGGCACAAATTGGGTCCTCTATAGTGCGGGTTTGACCCCTCTCAAGACCCTACATAGTGCGGATTTGACGTCACGCCACGTCACCACCCGCCTAGATGCGGTCAAACCTAGATAGCCAACCCACACATTTTCCCGACACACACACACAGTCGTATTGGCATTCGCATTTAGAGCATTGCGCATTTTTCGAATTTTGGCCCCATTCCAGGGACCTTGATTTTTACCCGTTGGCACTGACGTCTTTTCATTGGTCAGCCGATTAGCGCGGTCGATGCTAATAATAAAAACACACACACACACATACCCCTACCGGCCACGCATAGCAGCAGCAGCATACCCCTACTGGCCACAGGAACAGCAGCAGAGGCACAGGATGCCGTGTGCAGCAGGCGAACTCTGCCAACTTAGCAACCTCACACCCAAAGCCCCCGACGGCCACCAATGTCGAGGAGGATGTGGCGGCAGACTGCATGGTATATGCGGCGAGGTGGAGGAGGACGGCGAGAACGAAATGAACCGCCTCTGTCCGGCGTGCCTCTCCTCCAAACTTTCCAAACACTTCGCCCCCCTGGAAAGCTACGGCGCGGCAGGGTGCAGCTTGAACGAGGCCAGCTACTTGCTCAAGAGGGCACGGATGTTGATCACCGAAGCGCATGCATCGAAGCCGTCGCACCAGGCCGATGTTAGGGAGTTTTTTGACGCGTAGAGCAATCAGCCGTTTTGCCCCACGCAGCTCCTGCTGTAATTTGCTGGTAGTGTGGATCTGCCGGGTGTTTGAATGAGTCTCAACTGTCTGTCTGCGAGTTTCACTTTGCCGTTTTTTCTTCAAAGCCGCCCCCCCCAAACGTAGATGGCGTTGTGTTGTGTGGGGTTTTCTTGGAAAACTTGAGGTAGTAGAAAGCACGGGAAAGTACAAGGATTTTTTTTTGGGTCCTTGTTTCTATTATTTTTTCTTGGAGTGTCCCCCCTCTCTTTTTTTCTCCGTGGGTGTGTCTGTGGGTCGTGTTGAAAAGGTGTTCGTTTCGTTTGTGAACGGACGTGTTTCGTATTTGGCAAGTTCAGGTTTCATTTTGTAGGCCTAACCTTGTTTTTTTTATGTGCAAGCGGAACAAACTATCAATAATAATGCAGAATGGAACAAGGAACAACAACATGGGCTGTGCGCAGCCTTCCTTTTTGGTACAGAGCGTACATTGCGTAACATCTCTGTACAGTACAGGATGTGGTTGTATAATGTTTGCCGCTGCTGTGCAGTACATCCCGATGTATGTGCAACTTTTGCTGTTCTCTGCTCACCTGCGAACGGATGCAGGCTTCTATCCGTAGAGATACTGCAATTTTTCCCGACCTCACTTGTTACATGCACTACCGTGCCACCGCACACAGTATCCCTCGCTTTTGGCTACGTCCTATGCTAAAACCTATCGATTTCGTGGATAGTGCGCCTACCCGCACTATTGAGGGTTCTGAAACCCTGAATAGTGCGCCTTCCCGCACTATTCAGGCCCGAAAGCATATAATGCGGGTGCCCTCTATAGTGCGGTTTTTTTCGCGTGTCACATACCCGCACTATAGAGGGACCCCCACTGTATGATGTGCCTCCTACAATAGTACGTTTGGGCGTGGTTTCGGTGGTCCGCCTGCACTGAAAAATGAACAATAGGGCCTGACCGCAGAAGGCTCGGCGACCCTTGGATAACCAAGTGTCATTTCATGTGTTTCATGCGGATACTGCTGCACACAAGTGCTTAACCACGAGGAGTGCAGCAGTACACGACTTTACGCGCATGTAACAGCCGCATGTGAGGGTAGATACAATGAACCGCTGTCGATGTCGTGAACTTCGCAGCTTCTCATTCGATATACAATATAGTGGCAATAATGCCACTTTTGACATTGCAAAAGTGGCAACAGCAGCAGTGCCACTGATATAGTGGCACTGCCCCGAATGGTGGCATCATTTGGTCTTGCCCCTATATATGCCATATATCGGGCCACCTACTGTACTGAAGTCGTTAGCACCCCTCTTGTGTTGTACGCAGGGTTTCTCTGCTTCTCGGCCATGTTGTTGGGGCCCGACATCGTGGGCTCCAGCGAGAGACGCTCCTCACATCGGTAGTGCTCACATCGCAATTACAACTCACATCAGTAGTGCTCACATCGCAATTACAAGTATATTTTTTTTGTGTTTGTGCGTGGTGTACGGTGCATGCAGCAGGCAACAACAACAGCAAGCAGGGGAATTTCCCCCCCCTGATTTTCAAGGTGGTTACCAGAGTAGTATTCGTTATTTCCTTCAGTCAGTGAGAATTGGCCGGATGGCCACGACATACCATCCGGGTTGTTGTTGTTGTCCGCTCTCTCTACCCAGCGGTACTTTCATCATCTATCCGTATTTGTCCAAAACTTGACGCGGTCGATTCCTATCGCCACGGTTTAATTTACCCCCCAAAAGTTACACTCCGTTTTCAATACAAAAATGGATTCGGTCCGCGGGTCAACAGAAAATCATCTAAGACTTATTAGATTAGTAGAGGGTTTAGGGTTAGGGTTAGAAAACACTTAGGGTTAGCGTTAGGGTTAGAAAATCAATTTGTTGACTTGTAAATGCATTATGTGCGTCCACCACTAATTCGGAAGATAAAGATACCTCTATGATGCGATGGGTTCACATATCTTTCGGTATTCGGTGTACCTCTTTCGAACGCCAACTGTCTGAGCGTGCGTGTGGCCCTGTGGCCGTTCTTGTTGTGAGCTCTCCATGCCCGAGTCGAGGGGTGTTTTGCGTTTTGTTCACGCAAAACTACCGCGGGTACTTCTTCTACTATGGCAGGTCCCCCGCGGCCACCGGAGTACAGTAGCCTCTTACAGCCGCAATCACATTTACCGCGGTGACAAAATCCCAGAAACTTTCGGCCCAGAGGTTTCGCGTGCAGTGTGGCCTGCTCTTGCGCTCCGAATGTTACGCCTCATCATCCCCCTACCATCTTGCGTGGTGATACGTATGCCCGTCAACAGAGAGAGAGAGTGCACACTTGAAGGCAGTGATGGGTGCACTGACTGGTAACCAAACGCAACGCAAACGATGTCCGCCCCCGGTCGATGGGCTCTGTTGAACTTTGAACCCTCGTTCTGGGCATAGCGACAAGGAAAAAAAACTGCTGTTGTCTATTATTGTTCCTTCCACGCAAAAACAACCGAACCCGCTCTCCAGACAAAACACAAAAGCCTGTTGCCATGCATGTATGGTGGTGTGCCACGTGCGTGCCCGATGCGACTACCGCGAAAAGGACGTCAAGAGAACGCCGCCGAATCCTGTGCTCCGCCTACCGGCTCTCCTCCTCGTTCCGAATCCCCCTTCCTGCACTTTTCGTCACGATGTCCATGTCTACCACAGATCAGATACACAGATGAGAGGGCAATCGAAGGGGCAATCATGCATAGCACATGTACGTGAGAGAGAGAAACGGAATGTTCTTTTGACCCGCCCGTTCTCTCCTCTCTCATCACTCACCCTCCGAGGACGTTCGCTGCCGGTTTGCATATTGAAGGACCACGCTCCGAACCTGCTGCTGCTGGTCTCCTGGGGCTTGGTTGGTGGGTTGTGGCTTCGGGGTGGGCGGTTACCGGTAATCTAACGGTTGTTTGCGGGCGGATTTTCAAGTTGTGGCGGATAAAGTGGGGCAACAAAATAAGTGGTAAAGAGTCAAGACCGCAGCACGTCTTTGACCAGCGCACGCGGCTAGTTTCGTCGGCGATGAGAAGACTGACACGAAGAAATCTACGGTAAGCGATATGGTGGTGCAGCCGATGATCGCCGGTCGTGCGTGAGCTGGCCCTCGGTCGTGCGTGCTTGAGAAAGAAGAACACAAAAACTCGGAAAAGTACTTCAGAAATATCCGTGAAAATGATTGTGAGTGGAGAGCGCGTCAGCTCGCCAACTCCTGGAGACTGACCTTCGGTTGTCTTCGATTCGATTACTTGTTTTTATGAAAGTCTCTTGCTTGTTCTTGCGGCGATGCGGCGATGCGCGTGTTGCGGTGTGCTCTCCCTTCCCCCCCGTGGGGGTGTTGACAGTTGACAGGGGAGCAGGTTGTCTTGGATGATGGTCCACGACTACGGCAGTAGACTACATGTAGCCTTGAGACCAATTCTTTCGTTCGTTGCGTTCTGCACGTTACAAGCCTGACATTCAACCCGGGAGTAAAATCAATCGTACACATTCAACCATTTCACCGCGTTCCGCAGATAATTAGATGGTCTGGCTCTCTCTGTTGTTGTTGTTGTTGTTGTTGTCTCTCATCTGCATGCACAAAACAAATGTGATGAAGACAAAACCTCCACAGTACTTCATGTATGTGATGCATACCACGGCGTTACTGGCAAAGATAGAGCCCCCATATGTATGTATGCGCCAGACCAATATATACCAGCCTCTCTTCTCCCTCCCTCTCTGCGTGAGTCGCTGATCTTTGACGAACGCGTACTACTGCTGAGTCTACATGTATCAGAGTATCAATCTGCTGTCACACGGCACTAAAAACGACAAGTTTCGCGCGAATCTTAATCTTGTCAAAGGAGAAGAGCAGTGATCATCACACCGGGACCGAGAGAGAGAAAAGAGACCGACAATTCTACCGCGCAGTGTATGCTGGATACTGCTGCTACTGCTGCTGTCACGCTGTTGTGACAGAAAATGGTCATCCACCGCAGCTGCTGTGCGGCTTGGGGGCTGAGTGGATGGGTCAAAAACTGCCTCGCCGTCCCTGCTGTGGTACTTTCAAAGGTGTGTGAGCATACACTGGATTGATTGCTCTTCAGAGCCCTCTTCTTGCAAGGTATTATATTGACCGTGCTGCGAAATGCTGCGGTACATCCGCAAACTGTAATATTATATATGAATGGGTAGTATTTCTGTGTGTGTTTTTATTATTCTATTTCCCACGACGAGCCCGATATTTCCGTGTGTGGCACA